AGGAAAGAAGCTGTAACAAACACATTTTGAGCAATATGCAAAACAGTACACATTCATTAAATTTTTACAGCTCCTCAAAAGCCACACGAATTCAAAATCTTTCCTGGAAAAAGTATGACTATTTCAATCTTTTCCCATAAAATGAAACATCGATCTCTGTGCCTGCCTACTCTGCCCTCAAGAAGGCCAACTCTGTGTCTTTTCTTTCCATGGCTACTCTACTTGTGGGGCGGTTCTACTGTATTGCTTTTCCACAATAAACTTTCACTCTTCCTTCAGAACGAATCCGTGTCCTATTTCTAACCAGTGAGAAGCCACATAGCCAAAGACAGTTCCAGAAAAGGAGAAGTCTTGCATCATAGCAGCAGCATATTCAGAGTCTGGGAAAGCTGGATCCTACTTCTTGATGCACCCTTTTGGACAGAAGGGCCTGGGGCCTAGTTCCTGAGCGGCAACTAGACATGCCCTGCCAGGTTTGGAGGCCACTGAAGTCAGACCTTGCTCTCAACATCAACTTTGAATCCCACCTACTGTTTCCCTGGGAACACTACCAAGGAAATCTCTCAAGATTTAAAGTGCCATACACAAAAGCAGAGCTGTCAGGTTAGGCCCACTAAAGGAAAACTATGACTTTTTGGTCAAAACAAAACAAACTAGAATCTGACTTCTAATTCACCCTAGATGAAAAAAATGCTGTCTAAATCATTACATACTATTGTCCCTAATTGTAAGAGTTAACCCATCTGGGGGTAGAGAGACGGACCAGCAGTTAATAGCACTGGCTGCTCTATCAGAAGACACAGGGTTCAATTCCCAGCACCCGCATGGCCGCTTACAACTGTCTGTAACTCCAGTCCCAGGGGATATGACTACTTTTTCTTGCCTCGATGGGATATGACTACTTTTTCTTGCCTCGATGGGTATTGTACACAGGACATACATGTAAGCAAAACACCTATACACATAAAAAAAGATAACGTAGTTTTTAAAACAGCATTAATCCAGTTGGACCTGCCAGTCATCTGGCTAGGAGATCATTCCTTAGAAAAGCTGATTAACTTGAAGATAAACTAAGCCTATTTTTTTCATTCAAGACAGGATTTCTCTGTAACAGTCCTGGCTGTCCTGGAACTCACTTTGTAGACCAGGCTAGCCTCAAACCCACAAAGAATCACCTGCCTCTGCCTCCCGAGTGCTGGGATTAAAGGCGTGCACCACCACTGTTCAGCAATAATTATATTCTCAATGAGATAATGCACATACACATCTCTAGAGCCTCTCCTTCGATGCAGCTACTTGCATATCTTCACTGTTACACCCCCACCCCCCAGTATCTCTAGCCAGTGGCCACGTGGAGGATAAACACTGCTAAACTTGACTTCTGGGCACCAGGACTCACAATTTCCCTTACCACTACCATCACCCTCGAGCCAGAGACCTTGACTTAACTGTGAGGAAGGAAAAGAAGGCAAACAAAGCGGCACGGCAGAACTGGACACAGATTTCTGGCCGGGTGTGCTGCTGCGCGGCCAGGTGTATCGTCCCCGGGTCACTAGGCAGCTGCTTCTGTAATAGGGTGGAGGCAGCACACACACACTGTAATCAGGTTAACTGTTTTTAGCAGTTTGTTCCCGAGGGACTTGGATGCCCCTCAGAAACACAGAAGGTTATAGATCTGCCAGATCTCAGACCACACCATCTTCACAGGGGGCTGTAGGGTCTAAACTGTGGAATGCTTTTCCCATACACACCTCATACAAGAGAGAAGGATGGGGAAATCTGGGGAACAGGAAGCAGCTCATACCCAGGAGCTCTGGTTAAAGTCTCTTGCCAAAAGAAAAGTAAGAACACCAGCACAATCAACATTTGCTGTGAAGGTTGCTAACACAGAAATAATATTTCCATCATATGTAGACATTTTATCTTAAGGTAACAAATAAATTAGGCCTAAAACCTGAACATATATGACCTTGGGTAGGCCCCCATTCCATTCCTCAGACATTGCCTGAGAACCTCAAATGAAACTGTTTCCTGCGTTTCTGTGGGCTAGGATTTTTATCTCATCAACTATCAGATGCCGCCGCCGCAACCCCCCCCAAACACCCAGTAATAATATACTAACTTCAAATGCCACAAAAATGCTGTATCTAACTACTGTACAAACCAGAAGCTGCTACTCTCTTAGAGAATCCTATAACCATACTCTCCAGTATGCCTTACTTTATTCTGAGCATCTCTTTCCTAACCCTGATGCTTACACCTATCTTAAAATATCTTTAATAATGGGGCTGGAGAGAAGACTGTGGTTAAGAGCACTCACTGCTCTTCCAGGACTCAGGTCTGATTCCCAGCACCCACATGGTCACTCACAACAGCCTGTTAAAGTAGCTTCTGGAGATCTCACATCCTCTTCTGCTCTCTATGGGCATTGCTCGAACATAGCGCACAGACAGACACATAGGGAAAACACCCGTTCACATAAAATTAAATACCAATTCTTTAATAAAAATCCCCAATTTTGCTTCAGTGTGAATTCTTTTCAGTGTGGAAGCCACAAGTTCAGGTTTTGGCCAAGTTAAATCCTTAAAGTTCCAGGGAAAGTAATCAGGTTGCTGAGGATGGTGGCACCATCCCATAGCTCCCCTTAAGCATTCTAGTGAGGTCTCTCCAGAGTGGCCATAACCCTGTACTGGTTATCTACCTGGTCCCTGAGGCTCCCCGAGGGGTTCTTTGAAATCTGGGTGGAATCAGCATTCTGTAGCCTAGTGGAGATGGACACATGGACACTGCTGCACCCTCTGAAGGCCTGACTACCATGCCTGCACTGTACGGAGGGACCTTAGAGCCACACACACAATGATTAAGGAATACTCCCCAGAATTGAAGGTAGCAGTGCTGGGCATGGATTAACACATGCCCCTGCTCCTCCTCTTCTTCTTTCCCTACAGCTCTGGGACACTGGATGGAGAGGCAGCACATATAATCATTGGAATGCCTTCAGGTTCATTATCTTCTTGTCACAGGTTTTCACACCTCTGTATATTATGTCCAGTAACCAAAGGTCATTTGGTCGTCTCCTTACTGCTCTGTTCAGAAGAGCTTTTTAGCTCTTCCGACTTAAAGTATGACCAGCAGGGTGGTGCTGCATACCTATACTCACAGCACTCGGAAGGCTGAGGCAGTTGGCTGGCCAGGGCTACACTTTAGAAACTACCTCTAACCCCAACTCCTCCACCAACAAACACAGCACAAATGTCTACAAGAAAATAATCCAAACAAAGTGAGGCTGAGAATTTTCCAAATCCTTAAAATTTTGTTTCCCCCGATTATAAAGTCGTTAACTCCTGCTCAAATATTCCTATCATCAGTAAAGAAGTAATAAATACGTCACCCTCAGTATGCTACACTTTATTTCACTGCTCATCAGTTCTTCCTTCTACCAAACACCAGGACTACACACACACTTCAGTCAGCTTCTTTGCCAGCTTGTCAGAGGACGGCTTTCTTTCACTGTCCACCAGGAACCCGATCCGAATGTTTTCCCTAAGCACCCAGGAGGCTGAAGCAGGATAAGCAGGAACTCAAAGTCATCCTATCTAAGGAAGGAAAGAGCTCTCCAAATATAGGCACAGTCTAAGTGTACCACACGCATAAGAATCTGTTTCATTTTAGTCCTTACATGATTACATTTCAAAGTACAGACTTAAGTGTCTCATCTCATTTGTACCTACTTTAGTGGCTGAGGGGGGCAAATGCTTAGCCACGGTTTGACAATTTCCCCTGAGCTACTTTCAAATTCGGACAATTGATTGAGTCTCAGTCTCTATGGGGTTTGGAGATAGATTACATTTTTCACATACTTTTACAGTAAATTGTTTTATCTTTAACTTGAATTTTGCAGATGATTAACTGTCTTCACCTGACCAAAACAAAAGTCATTCTTATAACACCTTATGAAGACTTCCGGTAAGTAAAGAAACCAGTAAAAATGTAAAAAGATACTTCTACCTAAACTTCGAATTCAATGTAATCCACAGAATGCTCTGTTACCGACAAAATTTATTGGTACTATTCTATACTAAAAAGATATAAACACTGTCAATGAAGACTTTTCCTTTAATCTTTACACACAGTCCCTTTGAAATGATTCAGTGGTAAAGGGATTTGTCACCATGCCTGAAAACCCGCGTTCTGATCCCAGGAAAGAGGAATTGAATGCAGCTGTGATTATAAACAAGGTTTTCTGAGAGGGCTCCATATTTCAAGGTCTAGCAGAGTTAATGAATACTCTAGAGAAACACACATTTATTTTTCATTCACTATTTCTGGGGTTAAGAATGAGAATGGCATACTGTTGTCCCCTACCTTTCTTCTCCCCCTCTTCTTTCCCGCTCTGTGCCGGGTCCCTCTCTCCCTCCAGACAGGGTTACACTATGACCTCGGAACCCACTAGGTGGACAGGTTATCCTGAAACTTGTGGTAATCCTCCTGCCTCTGCCTCCCAATGCAAGTTCAAGTATGAGCTGGCCTACAATAATCTTTTAATGGAAAAAAATTGAAATCTATAGCTCCAGCTATAAATTCAACTTAATTATAGTGGCACACACCTATAAACTCAGTTACCCAACCAATTTATAGAGAGAATTCATGGTTTCCACAAAGGTTATTTTATAAGAAAAAGAAAACAGAAGGCAGGTGGAATATATTAATTTCAAGTTAATTAAACAACAAAGAAGAGGCTGCATAAAGGGAGCAAAAACCTTAATAGTACACATTCAGAACCCACGGATTAAAATATGTTAAAACTAAACATTAAGAGCATAAAAACTTTTATTAATATTTAATCCATTACAAGCACATAAAAGTAAAACTTTTATTTAGAGTAAATGAGATAACTAAAATTAAAGGGAGCATTTTGCCAAACATCTTCAGTGTAATTATTCTATAAATTAGTCTTGCCTAAGCACAGTGTCAATAATAAGATTTGATAGTTTTCTTACCATTTGGGGTCCAACATTCACATTTATTGGCCCTAAAGTTTTCGGTAAAATCTTTGTTGGTGAGTTGGTGCCGGAAACTGGAAATGCCACAAGTGAAATGTTACCTGAAAGGACAGCAAAACAGGAGGTCAAAGCTCTGCAGCATCAAGCTGACACCAATGCTCCGATCCACTCTGCTAGTTCACATTTCGATACATACTATGCCTGGGGCAGCGGGGCACACTTTCATCCCAGCACTCAAGGGGGAGGCAGGTGCATCTGAGTTCCAGGACAGCCAGGGATACCCAGAGAAACCCTGTCTCAAAAACCCAAAGAAACAAAACAAACAACAACAAAACCAAGAAGTCTGAACTGAAAATACATACAAATCTCTTTGTTGGAGTGAATATAATCAGTTCTGTTAAATAATATTATTTGTATTTTACAGGAAATTTATAAAATAGTTTGTCTACTTAACAACAACAGCAAAAAACCTGCAGTATCATAAAACAGGTGTTTTCTGCAGGTACTTCACAATATTTTTTGTGATGCTGCTATCGTACCAGAAACATTTTCTTTTGCTACTTGCTTTTTAAACTTAGCCACTTAAGAAAAAAAATCTGACTGGGCAGTAGTGGTGCATATCTTTAATCCCAGCACTTGGGAGGCAGAGGTAGGCAGACCTCCAGGTTTAAGGCCAGCCTGGTCTACATAGTGAGTTCCAGGACAGCCAAGGGCTACATAGAGAAACTTAAAAAAAAAAAAAAAAAAAGTCTGTTTATGGCCAGTTTGCCTCAAACCCATTCCAAGTTGTGTATTTGTTTTCCAATGAAATATTACAATATACAAAACCAGATGGATCTTTAATACATATATAGAATAATGTATGAAGTATAATGTGAACAAAGTATCCAAATTTATAGTATATTCATAGTAAAACTTATGGTTTTATTAGCATATATTAATTATACTTAATGATTTCCAGTATGACATTTTCTTATATGCATATAATGTATTTGAGCATAGTCACCTGGTCTTCATATCCTCTCCTGTCTTTCTCCAACTCCTATTTATCTATTTCATTTCATGTCTTTTTTTTTCTTTTTTCTTTTTCTTTTTTGTGATCCAGTGAGTTTCATTATAGGTGGCAGGTTATTTGTAGGAGCATGGGTACCTTTCCAGAGTTAGGCCACTGAAGAAAACATCTCTCCCTCCTCCAATAATCATTCATGACCTATAGCCCCTTGGGTGGGGAGCTCATGAGTCCCTCTCCCCACTCCATGATGAGATGCTGATGGGCCCAATAATGTGTAGGTCTTATATAGGTCATCACAGCCATGTCGCATCCAGAAGACATTGCCTAACACTCTGCCCCAACCTCTGGCTCTTCTACTCTTTCAATCCCTCCTTCTACAATGTTCCCTGAGTCTTGAGGGAGTAATACAGATGCTCCATTTATACATGAACATTAAACAGTTACTTGTTCTCAGCATTATGAGAAACGTGAGTGTCTGCAGTTACTGCCGCCTGCTTCAAAAAGCAGCTTCTGTGACCAAAGCTGAAGCAACTGAGGTTCGGGTTTTCAGAATGCCAAGTGGATAGATTTGGGGCCATTGTTGTTGCTGTGAGCTTAGCCTTTAATGGCTGAGCCATCTCTGCAACCCTATTTGGGGCCTTTTTAATATTTAGAAAAAACATCTAATTAGTTTTGCTATTTGTTGTTGTTTTGAGATGTTTCAAACAAAACAAAAGTATCACATATTCTAAGCCAGCCTCTACTGCTGAACTCCATCCCCACCCAGCTCCATAGTGATAGACATCAGAAGCAGGAAGACTGATGCAGTGATTTCAAGCGGCTTTAACACTTTACAATTACAAGCTAATTTAGCAAAGTAGTTCCAAAACACAAACCAAACACACTTCCCGAAAACAAAAACAGTCCATTATACTTTAAATTACAACAATTACTAAACTTTCATGGACTAACAGCTTCTCATGTTTCACTTAGAAGCTAACAATATAATCAAAAAGGACATCACCCAGGAAGGATGTGAAAAGGCAGCCAGTACTAAAATGATACCTGGTGAAAACCAGAAACTAACATTTAAGAACTGACTATAAAGACACCTCCCTTAGTTTCCTTCTTTAGATGATCTATATCCTCAAACTTCCAAAGCCTGATCATATGCAGGCATGGTGGCACACACCTTTCATCCCAGAACTTGGGAGGCAGAGGCAGGTGGAGCTCTGTGAGTTCAAGGCCATCCTGGTCTACACAGTGAGTTCGAGGACAGCCAAGGCTATACTCTGAGACTTTATCTCAAAAAACTAGAACCAACAAAAAGCCTGATCACACTCCTTAACTTCTTTCTCTCACTTCTCAGTCCTCAGCAGACACCCATCACCCAGTTCAGTAGGGAAATCAGAGTATCCACACAAAATTACACCACATCCTCTTGTCTGTAAATCTATTTGTGCTTTCCTTCATTCCTAGTTACTTCTCTTTCAATTGCAATATTCCCCATTTCTTTTTATAAATTTAATATTTATACATATGAGTGTTCTGCCAGCCTGTGTCTGCACACCATGTACGTTTAGTGCCTGCAGAAGCCAGCAGAGGGTGCCAGATCCCCTGGAAGTGAAGTTACAGACAGTTGTGAACCACCACGTGGGTGCTGGGAATCGAACCTGGGTGCTGAAGAGCAGCTAGCTCTTAACCACTCGGCCACCTCTTCATCCCCCAAGTCTTAAATAAACGACTTCCTTCCTCTCTGCTGCTTGCATTTTCCCTCGGGGATCTCAGAATGCTTAAGGAATAGCTTTTTTTTTTTTTTTTTTTTTTTTTGGTTTTTCGAGACAGGGTTTCTCTGTGTCATTTTGTACCTTTCCTGGAACTCACTTGGTAGACCAGGCTGGCCTCGAACTCACAGAGATCCGCCTGCTTCTGCCTCCCGAGTGCTGGGATTAAAGGCGTGTGCTTGTTGAATCCAAGGTCAAGTCTCAACTTGGAACCCCAGTTAACCTCGCAGCAGTATTTCACATGCTTTGACTATACTCCCGGGAAACTGTCTGTTGTCTGGCTCCTGAGCCGTTCCTCTCCTAGTTTTTTCCTGGCCAACTGGCAGTTCCAGTTCTGGATGGCCGGCTCTCCTCTCTGCACTGTTCTGGAGCCCTCAGCTTCAGTCTTTCCACCTCATTTGTCTACCTTTCCTAACTGGATAAACAGATCTCAGCCTCATGCCTTTAAATATACTGAAGAGTCTGATGTTTCTCTGGATTACACTCAGATTCATGTCCTTCTTAGTTTGTCAACATGACACAATTGAGTCATCTGAGAAGAGGAAACTCAATTGAGAAAATGCCTCCATAGGATTGGCCTGTAAGCAAGCCTCTAGAGCACTTTCTTGATTAATTAAAAATGCTGAAGGATCCAGGCCTCTAGGGGCGGGGTTGTATAAGAAGGCCAAGATCAAGCCAGTAAACAGTATTCCTCCATGGTCTCTGCTTCAGTTCCTGTCTCCCTGGCTCCTGCCTTCAGCTCCTGTACTGACTTCCCTTCATGATGGACTGTGACTGGACATGTAAGCTGAAATAACCCCTTTCTCCCCAGGTTGATCTAAGCCATGATCTTTATTACAGCAATTAGAAAACAACTAAGATAATTCACATAGCCAGCTGTCTCCTTATAGTTCCATTTTGATGCTGACAAGTATCCAAACTTAACCTATTTAAAAAGCTAACTCCTGAATATTCCCACCCTGCCCAAAAAATGTCATTTTCCATCTCAATAAATGTCTATTCTTCAACTGTCCAGATAAAAAAAGATCACTGCTGATTCTTCCCTCATAGCCCATACTTAATTTATAAATCCTGTTGATTAGATATTTAAACTGTATCTTGAATACAACTACTTCTCATACCCTCTACTATTACCACTCTGGTCCAATTCATCACCTCTTGTTGGATTACTATAATAACTTCTAATTCATCTGAATTAAATTTAATTCAAATTTAAAAACTAAACCAAGCCAGGCATGATGGTATACACCTATAAGTTCAGCACTCAAGGGCTACAGGTAGAAGGATCAGGAGTTCAAGGTCATCCTCATCTTCCAGGCCAGCTTGGGCTACAGGAGACCCTGTCTTGAAACACAAAGACACCCTAGCACTTGGGAGGCAGAGACAGAAGGACCTCTGTGGATTTAAGGCCAGCTTGGTCTAAATAGCAAGTTGCAGGCCAGTCAAAGCTACATAGTAAGATCTGTCTAAAATAAAAAACAAAACATATAAACAAAAAACCAAAAAACCAGAAAGAGAAAAACAAAAGCAAAACGAAGCCTTTTCTCATTAAGCACAAGCTTACTGTTGTGTAGAATTATGTTTCATTTCACTTTAAATATTCAGCCATCTAAATTTAGATGTGCTGTTAGTGTAAAATAAACCTAAAATTTTGAAGACAGTACAAAAAATTTACAGCTATATAAAACTGTAACATTAATATATTAACATATTAATAACAAATAACTATAGCATTAACTATAATACATGACAAGAACATTTATGTCAATTTTATGTTTCAATGATGCTTTAGAGAAATGTACTGGCAATACGTTGGCTAAATGTTTGGGTTAAAAGAATCTATCCTGGTCATCGAGATGGCCTAGTGCTGGCACTTGCCCCAAATCTGTAACCTGAGTTTAATGTGTGGGCCCATATGGTGGAGTGAGAAAACCAACTCAGGTGAGTTGTCCTGACCTCCACGTGCAGTGGCATCACACACAATAAACAAACAAACAAATAAATAACTGTAAATTTTTAAAAGACTCTATCCTTAGTCAGGTGTGCTGGCATATACCTTTATCCCAGCACTTGTGAGGCAGAGGCAGAGGCATTCAGATCTCTGAGTTGGAGGCCAGCCTAATCGACATAATGAGTTCCAGGACAGCCAGGGCTATTGTAGATAGACCCTGTCTCAAAAAATAGAAAGAAAGGAAGAAAGGGAGAGACAGGGAGAGAGAGGGAGAGGGAGAAGGAGAGAGGGAGGGAAGAAGGGAGGGAGAGGGAGAGAGAGAGAGAGAGAGAGAGAGAGAGAGAAGAAAGAAAGGCTCTATCCTTAAAATTCACA